ACATTTTCAGAACACTTCCTGTCATCACAGACTTACACGAGGAAAATGACCTTCATTGCTGTACCTCTTCTCTGTAATGTAATAGTCACAGCACGGGGCCCTATATGCCTCATAATGTAATAGTTTGAGCACGGGGCCCAATATGCCCCATAATGTAATAGTTAGAGCACGGGGCCCAATATGCCCCATAATGTAATAGTTAGAGCACGGGGCCCAATATGCCCCATAATGTAATAGTTAGAGCACGGGGCCCAATATGCCCCATAATGTAATAGTTAGAGCACGGGGCCCAATATGCCCCATAATGTAATAGTTAGAGCACGGGGCCCAATATGCCCCATAATGTAATAGTTAGAGCACGGGGCCCAATATGCCCCATAATGTAATAGTTAGAGCATGGGGCCCAATACATCCCTGAATGTAATAGTTACAAGACAACATATATTAGTTACAAACAACATACAATATCTCCCACTTAAAGCAGCATGCAACCAATTTACCCACAAAAACAACAACACAATCATGTCACAAGGCAATGGTAGTTTGTCGTACCAACAATTCAGCTCTGTCATGATGGACCTTCAACGTTATTTGGTCTGGGGCAAGTGACTAATGACTTACAGTGTGATGGTGAACACACCCTGTAACATGCCACATCACGTCTGAGGGTGTCTTTTCCCCTCATAATGACCCATCCACCTTGTGGTTTCAAAAATGACCCTAGTTATTCCTCACTGCAATATCAACCAGTCAAAACCTGTCCTATTTGCCCTATCAAACACCTAACATTTATGGAATAGTTATTCCCAATCATATATCATATGCAACTCTAGACTATTGACAATGGGGAGGCTGACTCCTAATGTAAAGTAATTTAGCACAACTGAAGTACACTTAATGATAACCAACACGTAGTGATCAGAGACTAAGGTCAAATGCTAAATTCAACTGCATCCAAGGAATCTGTTTAACCTGTCGCGGAATTAAAACACTTTTTACAATCCCAAACCAATTTTGACTTGTGACTGTTCAGCACATAATCTGTATGTTCTGACTGCAAACAAAAGAAAATGATAGGGGAAGACAAATTTGTTCTGGTTAAATGAACACTAAAAGATTACTATGCCAAGATTGACTTCACACTGCAGACAGCCTCCTGTGTACTATTCTCGTTACTATAGTTACTATAGTTATACACCCCCAGAACACTAGAAACCTAAAGACAATCCAATGCATTCCAACATTATGGAGGCCCTATGCTACAGTACATTCTATGAACAATAGCCAGGCCTTAGGCCAGATGTTCCAGCTGTTTACATCTTGTCAGGTCAATGAACAGGCCACTCTTACTAAACCTTCCATGTGTGAACATTTGCCATAATGTCAAAAGCTCAGGTTGGAGACATATCACCATCTAACACTTACATCTAAACTCCATCTATCTGATGAATTTTCTGAGTGGATCAACTGAAATTAATGATGTGTACTACATATCTTTGCTTTTCATCTGAAGATTAATTTATTCTGTTCAGAAATTAAATAAAAAAATAAAGTTTTCATATTTGGAAAATAACCATATTATGCATTATACACTTATGCCTCTTATATGTTGTCTACAGAGGTGTAATATTTGGACACATATTGTGTATATGATATGCAAACAGTGTGGTAGCATCACTAAGGTGACATTATGTTATTAGTCCAGTGGAGATCTTAAGTTATGATACTATGCTTGAGTCCACACTGGGCCATCTGTATGTCAATATACAGAGATTATTATACAAGCATGTGTGTCAAACTGATCTTATGAAATGAAAACTTCATATTACCGATTATTTCTACACCATAATAAAATATCTGTTAGAAAATGCACTGATCACAACTGCCATCTAGTAGAAAAATAGAATTGTAGAATGATGTCATGAATCTTCAACGCGGACACTGTTTCTGGTATGACATCCATTCGACCTTACTTCACAATAAGATTCGAATAACATCAACAATATCGTCCAGGATCATAAACAATACAGTGCTGCACGTGATATGAAATTTGCTCCATCAGGGTACATTTTTCATGAACATATAAAAATGCTTACATTTCATTAATAACACACACAGCTGCTATGTTGATTGACAATGATATAAATGGTTTGCCAGAATTTACTAGAATGCCACTTTCATCAGCTACATATATTTCAACTGAATATCATTCCAAAACATTAAATCATACTTGATGGCCTTGAACAAAATATATACATATATACATGACCATAAGAATGAGTGGGTGAATGTAAATAAACATCGCAGTCAGTAAAATTCCGGACTTATAATGGTAGCTCATGAATAATGGAGATTTTGACCTTATTTATTTCATGAATTTATTATTCAATTTTACATTACAAGTAAAAGATGGGTATTTCATCTTAAGTCTCAAGCAACAAATTTGCATAACCAAACACTCCTCCACACTTCAAGATTTGAAAATAATCCTAAATCCCTGGTACAGAATAGGTTATAAAATCAGAGCACTGACCATTATTATCTACAAAACTAACATTAATGTGACATGATGTAAGGTAGGGTAACATTTTCACTTCAATGAAAATAGCAAAAACATGTAAGTTAACTGATCAAGTGTCAACAACAGATTGTTTCTAGAGTATAAGATGTTAACAGTAACTAATGATGATGAAGATTTTAAATGATGCATATGATGCAGGCATTTGATGTATGTACAAGCCGAACAGATGCAGTCTGAAACCATGCTACTTGCAGAATATTGCATTTGGTTAAGATGAACGATGAGTTATTAGTAATGACTTGTTACATTCCAGGTGCATAAAGAAAGGAAGAAATGTATTTATTACATGTGAGGAGTTGTAGTGTATCAGTGAGTATGAGTGTCTGTGTCTAATTTACCTGAACAACATCAGTTGGATGTCAGAGAATGCCTGAATCAAATGTGATCGTGATTGGGATTAAAATGCTGCAATCAGCACTATTTTCAAGCATGCAATATGCGTTATCGGATCAAGTGCATGCGAACCATTAGGTGAACACGTGAAAACTGATCAACACTGTTAGAGCATGTCACCCTGACCCATACTACTGTGTTCAACTTTCGCCACTTAAAGTCTGATCAGCATTATAAATAGAAGCCAATATACAAACACTAATAGCTACTCAAAAGAAAGGTAAGTAGAATCAAGGCAGAGATTACTTTTTACTAAACAGTGTTTGAAATCATGGTACTATTTCAGTCATTCAATTTGGACTTTGAGAAAATTCATCCTTACGAACATCAAAAGCTGAATTAATATAGAAAACCAGAATACCATCTACTATCAAAACTAGATTGTTCAGGATATAGTTGGTGTAAAAAATTGATAACTGATAAAAATAAAATCTAGTCAGCCTTTTCTGAACTGATTAGAAACAATTTCTTCTTTTATGAAAGCACTGATGAGTTCTGTCCTGCCACATACCTTATGTCCCATCGGTTAGACTGTGAACTCATACAGCCATCATAACGACAGTGTAAAACTAAATTTGACTGATAGTGTAGACTATTTCAACTAGTGATATTGATTATCACAGAACCTGATGCATGACCATGGACACTGGCAATATTTAAATATTGGGATTAATGATTTTCAAAAGATTGATGATATATTTTATATGACTAGACATCCTACAAAACAATACAACTAGTGGGAACATTTCATGTATTCCTTTGGGATGATGGCATGAATAATATTCTTAAGAGCTCAAGCTATAGAAAACTAAAATACATTGTTACATTCCTGAGTATCAGCTCACAATGATATTAATAATTACCTGGGTGCTTTATATTAGTATCTAATTTGACTTTGGTGACATCTGTCAAGTAATGCACATACTTAATTTAATATATATGTGTATCAATGTTTGTTGTAAATCGAAATGTGGGTTATGAAAAGGACACAGAGTGATGTTATGCATGTGGTAAATGATGCATGCATGATCATGCACTCAACCATCAAGTGACAATAGTCCCTGATGCTGACATATACATGTCCATGTAGCTACACTAGCTCTGAATCACCTCCAACATAAACCTACATTTTGCAATAGTGAGAATTTCACTGTAAAGGTTATCAATGTTTGAATATACCTGTATTGAAAGTAGCCCTATATCTGAATGTGTTTCACATTAATGTGAAATCAGACTCGCAAGTCAAGGGAAAACCAAACCAACACATGTAGATGATTACCATTTTGCTGGAGAGAATTAATCTTGCGGATTGTTACAATACAGGTTTCATAGAACCAGGAATTGGATAATCAGTTTACGTCCTAGAAAATTTTATCAGCTTCAATACCAAGAATGTTGTTGTTACAGGATTGTGAGAAATCGAAAACCAACCTGACAACAAATACTTTGTGTTATTTTATACAGATACTTTTATTTCTTTACCAAAACTCCAAACGTTACAGTCCTAAAGTATTTAACAATATTCTCTAAATATCATTAACATTAACAAAGAAAATGTCCTGTCAAAAACAATCAATTGAAACATCTAAAACGTTCTAAGGTCATGTTCCCACTACAGATGAAATGCTTGAATTGTTCTTATAGCACTTTCAAAACTTCTTATGAAAATGAATAAAGAAATTCATGAAGCACAGAATTTTGAACCATGCATCTCGTGTTTAGGTCTTTTCTATCATTCCATGATGTTTGTGTGTGACCAAAACAAAGACAGCAAAAATACATTGCATTAAAACCTGCGAGTGACAATAACACTAACAAGTGAACCGTAAGTGAAAGGTTATCAGTAATGAAACAGTTTCATATATGAAAATCAACACGTCCCATGCTGTTAAGTGTGTCAATATGTTTTAGTGGCATGAACAGAGTGAATATGTGAGCATACAGCATGACAGTTGTTAGAATGCTGATGTTATTGGCATTGACTATTGGCAGCACACAACACCAACGCTTGTCCAGGCAATCTTACCAATATTCCAGTCTAGCTGAGGCACATGAATGTCGTTCTCTGGAAAACCTCATAGCAAAAACGCATGCACGTATTAAAGTTACGTCCACATTTTTCTAGTCACAAATAGCTTGACAACATCGAGAGCAAGCTAGACAATCTAAATTGCATCATCAACATATTAGATGTGTTCATTTTACCTTGTCATAAAGATAAGAAATTATATATAGTTTCTCATGTTTGGAGTGAATACAACATAAAGTATCAAATCAGTTGACTGATATTCAAATTTCAACAGAAAATGTCAATAAAACATGAATTATCTAAACATGCTGAATATATAATACAATTTTAATTCAAACCTTTACTGATAAAAATATGTTATTCTTATAGGATGGATCTCATATATACTGTGTTATGTGACAGGTGAAACTACAGGTTATGTCCAGTAGTATAGGACACCTGATATTTATACAGTGATACAGGTGAAGTAATACAATCAAAGCAGTACACCTTTGTTAGTTTTACTTACCTATCTCTGACCACACAATCACTAGCTAATACTACTTCACTTCAATATCTTAGGTCAGATGTTTTGGTTTATCTTTACTAGACAAAATATGAATTGTTCTTTTATTGATATTGATACATGTAAAATTTGGATGAGATTTATGATGTGATAATCAAACCCTATATTTAACTATATTCATGTGTTAAAGAGCCTATAAACTTTTGGGAAAAGAGCCAAATACAGCAATCATACTCAAAAAGAATATTTAATGCTGAAAATATTTCCACTGCTAACAGTATGTCATCTGCAGTTAACCGAATACATGTAATAAACAGTAGCATCAGATTACCTTCCAAATTACTCCATCATGAATCAGGCTTATTGAAGAAAACGAAGCTCTTTCATTTTGGACAGAAAAATAAAAGAGATTTTGGTAACAAAAACAACTTACATTAATAACCATATGTATAATTATTAATGTAAGTTGTCTGTTTATTTACATTATGTATAATGATTATTAATGTAAGTTGTGTTTGTTACCAAAATCTCTTTTATTTTTCTGTCCAAAATGAAAGAGCTTCGTTTTCTTCAATAAGCCTGATTCATGATGTAGTAATTTGGAGGGTAATCTGATGCTACTGTATACGTGTATGATATTACGTTGCAAATAAACTACTAAACTACTAAAGGGCCTAAAAAATAAGGACACATCACTAGTGAGTCTTGGCTATAATATGGTTTAAGAGTTAGTGGCCACACATGTTTGGTAACCTAATACAAATTGTCTTGGCAATATAAATTTACGTCCTGTTCAGCAACAAGTACTTATGGGAATATAGACTTTACTTCATGAATTTGTCCATGATTCTAAAGAGTCAGTTATATCACAGAGATTCTCAAAAACACAAAACAGATGTTAGTCTTATCATAGAGTTGAAATGTTATTGTTTAAAGTGATTACATATCTACATAATATATCGCTCCTGTATTACCTGATACTCCATGTCTTACTAAGCTCTATATTGGTTAGTGCTTTCATCTATAGTTGATTGTTCCAGTAATATATACCAGATGTGCAATAGATGTCTAGATGCTAGCTACCACATCTATGTGACAACCTGTCACTCACTATAGTGCAATAGACATGTATATAGTTGTAAATTACAAATGTGAAAATACCTTTAGCACATGCAGCTATATATCAACACATCCATATGCAAAATAGCCCCAAATGAAACAGCAGTATAATCAAACAATAGAGACCATAGACAGCCCTTGCCAAGAAATCAAACTAAAGCATGCCCTTAACAAAAGTAGAAATTAGTCAAAGGCGACATGAAAAATGAGAATATCTGATACCGAGCGTACAATATCTCATGCAAATTACCTTCATCTAACTCTGCATCGAGCTCGGCTGTTTTGACAAAAAATTAAAACAAATGTCACTTCATGCAACAAACTAAAACATGACAAACACGATCAATCCCACAAGGACAATTAAACACAGACATTGAAATGTCGACGTTTGGAAGGGTAGCATAATAATCTTCTCTTTGGCTAGACATGCTGGAAAGAAACTGATTATTGTGCATAGGTCAAAACTGCACAATCATGACTTAAGAAAATATAACAAAACTATTATTATCACAAAACGAATAAGAAAATCTTCAATACACCATGCTCTCACAAACTACAAACACTGATAATCATTATTAAGTCTAGTATCTCTTTGAGGTCAAAGTCCAAATATCATTGTTTTCCAAAAACTGATAATATCCTCAGTGACATCCAGTTTAATTTCATTCTCAGAATACATACTTGTTGTCTATGAATAATTATTAATTACTCTCCAGTTAATGAATAAATGTATAATTTTGATTAAATTTAATCAATACATGATTTACTGCAACCTATATATACTTTTACCTTGCAGCAGGTGTATTCATGTGTATATGACCTGTATGTGTATCAGTAGTGTACTAAAGATCATAGTACCATAGACCATGTAATTTGGTTTGTCATTTAACACCGAGCTCAGCAATATTCCAGCTATATCCTGTATATGGCGGCGGTCTGTAAATAATCGAATCTGGGAAGATAATCCAGTGATCAACAGCATGAGCATCGACCTACGCAATTGGGAACCGATGACATGTGTCAACCAAGTCAGCAAGCCTGACCACCCGATCCCGTTAGTCGCCTCTTACAACCAGCATTAGGGTTGCTGAAGACCAGTTCTAACCTGGATCTTCATGTATTATAGACCATGTAAACACTGGTGACTTAAATCTTAAAACTAGTTAGTGATTGACATATCCATCAACTGATAGGGAACACTGTTTGAAATTAAAGTGAAGGTTAAGGAGTCCCATTTAACACCCCAAGTATAAAATAGGCTCTGGTGTTTTGGAAGTGCCTTGCCATAGGAAATGCTATGACAATTTTGGCACCCCAAAATCCTTTAATGCTTAACATTTAATGGGGCTGTGTCAAGGATACCTTGTCCTTCAATCTTATTTCCAAACATTAAAAGGTATATATTTGTTAGCACAAAAATATTTTTGCTATTTTCCAGAAAATTCATTAGTCTGTGGCATTTAAGCCACTAGTCTGAAGTACTAAAACATATCATAGGCTATATAAAAAGCTAGAGATACAAAAGAGGAAGACTATTTCAAGGTTGTAGTTTATCCCAAAATACCACAGAACAACCCAATTAATCATAATTTATCATCATCTTAAATTTATTATGTAGTAAACCTCATAGTAATTCACAAAGACAAGCTTCATATAATTGCAATGTGCAGTTGCGTTTGTTGATTACAAGGTTCACAAAAACAGGACTGGCTACTCTTTGTATCAATCACTGAGTCAGGGACATGTCTCTTTGCAATAAACAGCTGTCAATCAATCACTTACAAATGTATTACATTACTACAGATGATACAACCCCTTACAAACTGACATCACTTCCCCTTACATCATCATGTGATTAACATGTCTAACATACTTAAACTCATGATGTCACAAGCAGAGTCTTAATGATGTTAATCCCTGAAATTATGTGATCAATTTCAGATATGTGAAGTTTGCTACTTACTTACGTATGACTAAAAATAATTCTCATTATGTCGTACATGTCTTTATCATTTACATATTCTCTTACCACATGAGCATGATTAGTCGAGAAAAAACATATACACATTAAATTTCATACATAAAACATTTCTATTTCCGTATAATAATAAAAATGTTTTCAACCTTCAAAACATTTATTTCCTACTATCCTTTACATCTTTTTCTCAAAATGAATTAATGATGTTATTAACTATTGATGTTCATTGTGGTCTATGGAAACAGACTGAAAAACACATATCATTCGTGCATCAACATATCCAATATCAGAACACCACTGAAAACCGCCAATATAATATGATATAACAGATTCTCAAAAGTGCTCTCTCTACACAGAACCACAATACAACCAATTCCAGATGTGTCTGGAACTGATCCCGACCTAGTTTAAGCCAAACTCAAGAGTAGAACATGATGAACATGAGCCAGGACACACAGTTACCTGAGTTTGCTGGTAGACATTCAGGTTTGTGATTTGATTTAGATCAGCATGTTCAGTTACATACTGCAGTAGCAGCTATATTGTGTGAACTAATTCTGAACATAAAACCATCACTGTGAACTGTGGGGTTAACTGAACAAAACTCGGGCATGGATATTAGAGCAACATTTTCACCTTCTTTTGTGGAAGAAAGCTCAGTGCCATCGACATCAAACTCTAACTCCGGTTCATCTGTGTTCATGAACAACTCAGGATCAACACCAGCGGCATCACCAAATGCTGTGGAGAGAAAACAGAAAACATCATTCATCAGAAACAGTATAAAGAGCTGCTCTGGTAGCAATAACAAATAAATAAAATGCGAACATCAGAGGTGGGTTCTGGAATGAGTGAGTGAGTTCAGTTTTACACTGCACTCAGCAGTATTCCAACTATATGGCGGCGGTCTGTGATTAATCGAGTCTGGACCAGACAATCCAGTGAGCAGCATGAGCATTGATCTACACAATTATGAACCGATGACATGTGTCAACCAAGTCAGCGAGCCTGACAACCCGATCCCGTTAGTCGCCTCTTACGACAAGCATAGGTTACTGAAGATCAATTCTAACCTGGATCTTCACTGGTCTGAGTTCTAGAAGTATATGTAGAACACAACATGTCAGGTAACTGCCAGCAACCAAAAGGATATGTCATAATTTGTTTTGTCACTCAAAGGTTTCAGTATTAAAAGGTTTGGTAGTCAAATAATGACAAATAATAAAGGTGACTATTGAGGGGAAACAACTATTGTGATAGCAATAGTCTATTGCTGACCAACTATTGTTATACAGTTATTATACTATTGCAATAGTTTTTCCTCTCCTTGAATTGTCTCCTCTGAAGTCAATTCCCAAAAGAATGTATAGTTTATATGAAATAAAAACAGGTTGAAGTAGATTCTGTCTCTCTTAATAATTGACAAGAAGCTTGAAACCCAGATCAAATAAACAGTTAAAACATAAACTCAATGAAGCTGCAAGTCTGCACCAACACGATAAAAATATAAAACAAAAAAACAAAAAACCATAAATATTCAATAAAAATAAAGTCAATTACTAAACTATTGATAGTCTCACATACAATCAATGCATCGATAGTTTTTCGTTTCTACCATTGATTAATTGCTATTGGAAACTCAACAACTGCAATCCATCGAAAGCTTGATACATTGTTACAGCCCTAACAAATAATTGAGTGATTTAGGTTAAGAGTGCAGATGCACTCGAGTAAATGTAGTAATAGAACACACAATACAAATCCTAACATTTACATGCCTAAAATGCCGGACCAAAATTTAAGCTGCCACAAAAATGGAAGTCTGATAACTGGTAGTCAAGATCCCTATACTTTGCGTGCCTCTGACAAGTCTGAATTAGTACAGCTCAATGGCTGAAGCTTCAAAAACACAATGCCTTAGAAAGTGTAAATTGTAATCCTAAATATGGCATATGTTTCATTTGGCTACTTTTTAAATGACTTTGTGTATTCATTAATTAATCAGTCTGACATTAGTGACAAGTTTCTAAAAGATGAACCATAACAAGGAATCAACGTGATACTGTTTGTGATGGGACAAATGTACACAATCTGCAATAGGAAAAGTGCTTGCCTAAGCCACCATAGCTCCTGACAGTAATTTCCATGTGTCATACAGAAAAAATTACACATTTTAAGATGTGTGCTGGTCAAGGTTTCAAAGACAATTTTTGATGACTGTGCATTATTTCATCAAATTGATAGTTCAAGAAGGCCTAGTCTTTAATATTTACATTTTAATTATGAAAATTTGAAACATAAGAAGCCTTGCTGGAAATTTCTAACAGTCAAAACTACTAAAACAAACTATCAACTTGAAATTTCATCAGTCTGGGAGCAATGGTCATATGAAACTCTGCAATTAATATATTTAATTCTGTGCATAAAACTGTTACTGATGCAAAGAAAACATCTGCTTTACAAAGTTGAAAAAACAAAATGAAACAAATACATGTAGTCACACAGGAACAACCTCCCATCTGTTACTCAGCTAAATAGTATACTGGGGTTATATTTAGAATGTCCACCAAACTGACAGCTGTTGCAGGAATGACTGGTGACTATAACCATTTCACTGAAGAAGTGCTGACAGAATAAATACATTTTGGTGCATAAATGCGCAAAATATCAATTTTATGTTTTCACAAAAAAGCCACTTAAAATATAAATGGAACTTGTAGGCTGCAGCATTCTTTCATAGTATGGTAGCAGACATGCATGCCCTAAAGCTTTCATCAATATATTCATTTCAGGATAAAACAATTACCAGTGCAACAAATAAGTGGAGGGCAATGATTCATTATGAAAATTCCCCACTTCCACCCGACACAAAAGTCTTAAAGTGCCACAAATGCTGGGTTTACTCTTAATGTACATGAGGAATGAATCCAGTATAGAAATGCATAATCAGCACTTTGTGTGATCCATAGCATTGGCTGAGTATTGTTATTTGTTATTGTCACTTGTTGTTGAAGGCTGATTACATATACAGATTATAGGAATATCGTAATTTCATTTCATTTCAGACCTAATCCTTTGTACAGTCATGCAAACTACTTGGCCTGACCTGATTCAACATATTTTCCTTCAACTAGATATTCAAACATTGATCCATGTATAGTGTAGCAGTGAACATGGAATCCATCAATGAATGAGAAGATTGATACAACTTTACCCTGTACCAGCTGAGTTTAACTACTAGCTTTACAAGTAGTGTGGCAGTATGCATGAAGCTATGGAAAAACCTTGCCCAGTTGGCCTGATCAGGTTCAAATGACATTCAGTCATCAGAAGAGGCACAGAGACTTAATCAGATCTTTACCATCACCAGCAAACCTATGGCTATCAGTGTTCAAAAATAAGCATGAGAGTCAATACGTCCTTGTCATCATGGTATAAACCCTAATGGGATACAAAGTGTAAAATAGTACAGCAGCAGACCTCAAGGATCCAAGGGACAGGATAATTTTGAATACTGGCTAAACTGCATCAGTGTAATCTTGCCCTGGGCTGACAAATCAGTGGTTGATAGATGGATTCAGATTACATCCCCATTTCTGGGTTTGATGATACACTATACTGCAATAGGTCTGATCACTACAGGGATCTAGTCAAGATTCCCCAGCTGGCCATCTGCATCAGCAGCATCAGTATGCCTACACAGCTGCAACATGTGCAATGTGGCATCCTTGTATCCGCATTAATATCTCCATACAACTGGAAATGTGGGGTGCAAATTGGCACTATCCAGCAAGCCTGAATCTGTTAGTCTGATATTGATGGTAGTCCTTAGGTAAAGCGCTTGCAGAATTTCATGTTCCTTGGGGGGATCCTTATACATGTTATCACTATTAAGGCCAATCAATGGTTTCCAATTAAGTTCTGCCTTGTTACTATAGAGAGAAATACTTTGGACCACTTTAATCTTCCAGCAGGGGTATCATAATATGTGCACCTCATTAATTCATGCATGCATTCAATACCAATACTAAGTGTCCCTATACAATATTTACCATAGTATTTGATTTAACTTACAAGAAGTTCTCAGGATTATCCTACATGCAAGGAATTCTCTGGATTATCTTAATAGTATTATGTATTAGAAGTGTCAAGCATGAAAATGTAAGGGCCTTTCCAAACCCCAAACATACTCACTCCCTGATTTAGTCAAGAGAGTTTATCTCAGATGAACACCCTTTCCACTGAAAAACCTGACATGGATGACTAGTCATAAATATACCCTCTTTTAGTATATAAGTAGTGTGTTAACAAACAAAAATTACAGAATACCAATAACTCTTCTACAGCCTAAAGCCAATTTATTATGCTTCCCTATTGGTGGTGTGAGATATTCAACATGGCAACATGATTAGCATAAGTAACACACAATTAAATGACAGTGGACAATGTTGGAATACATAGATAGTTGAACACATATTGTGCATGAAATTAGATATTATTTCATATGAAATGAACACAAACACCAATGTCATGGTGGAAAATGGAAAAACTTCTGCACTAGATTTATTGATTGTACAGACTAATTCATGCATTTCCTGCTTATACTGTTCAAACTCTTCGCCTGACAAGCCCCATGAAGGTTTTACTTTTTAGCAACTTGTGCTTATTGTAAGAGTTGGCATGTCAATGTTCATAATCTCAATCACTGGACTGTCTGGTCCAGACTCAATTCTTTACAGACTGCAATGATATCGCTACAATACTGCTGATACAGCAAGAAGCAACAAGCAACCTTTGCCAGATACAGCTAGGACTAGACACTGTTTGAACGTACACACAACACTAATCAGGTTACATTGTCTTTCAAGTATCTCATAGGTGTCAAAGTATACCAGATACTATCTCAGTTACAGGCGTCAAACATATTATGTAGATCCATCTGCGTACATTAGTCCATCACGATTGTATACTATAAAACATACATCACCTTTGACATCTCAAAGTTAGTCAAATCATCTCCACACATATGCAGGGACAAATCAAGGTTAAACAATGTTCAGTTGGCCTAAACAGAAAAATAGTCTAACTGATGCTTCCCTCCCCCTAAGATGATCTAAACCACCTCCGTGGTGTAGTGGTTAGAGCGTCCGCCCGGAGAGCGGAAGGTCGCGGGTTCGATCCCGACCGCATCATACAAAAAGACGTTAAAATATGGTACTTGTTGGTCCCTGCCTGGCGCTCGGCATTAATGGGTACAACAAGGACTGGTCGGCTCGGAGTCAGTATAATGTGTCTGAGTGGGGTATTCATGCTTCACTGCGGCATGGTATCTCAGTGGGCTAGCACTATAAAACCAGCTTAAGTCTGGGCTAGTACAAGCATCCGCACATACACATACACACGCATGCACGTCGTCATATGAGCGAAATATTCTGAAGCACGACGTTAAACCCAATTTCACCTCACCTCACTAAGATGATCTGGGTTAATTTCACAATTACTGACCTCAGTTGACCATCTATTTTTGCAAATAACCAGTGACGTGTAAGGCACATCTTTTAGTTGAAAGTTAAATTGGTTATACTGATGGCAGATCTATCCATATATTAACTAATTACCATAAGTATTTGGCATGTGTACATGCAATGAAAATCATTGAAATAAAACTGTGCTTTGTCAGTGTGTAATTGCCTTTTAACATTAACGCAGGGTTAGAAATTTAACATCAAGATGATAGCTTGTAATTAAAAGCTTAAGTGTGGTCACAAAACCTATTAATACCTTCTAATTGTTTAAATTTCATAAAATGCCATAAATTGAAATACAATATTCGCAGTCATGGAATGTTCTGGGTCTGGTCATCAGATCTAACACTGTTACCAATAATAACTAATGGCATGGATCACAGAGTTGATTTCTTTGCATGAGAGAGTGAGCATGATTTTACACTGCTTTTAGCAATATTCCAGCTATTGAGTGGCGGGGGACACCAGAAATGGGCTTCACACATTGTGCCCATGTGGGAACCGAACCCGGGTCTTCAGCATGACAAGCGGACGCTTTAACCATCTGGCTACGCCACCGCCCAATTTGTATGATGTATTTCAAATAAAATAAATATTTCTTTAATGTTCAGTAAAGATCAATGTGATAACTGAAACCACAAAGTGCACGTATATTTATGCTGTAAAGCCTAAGTTTCTCATTGTTGCACCCTCAGAATATTTATGGGTCACGGCCACAAGCTATTATTACTTCACACTGTGTCAGCTTCAAATATACTGCATGGAGGTGGAGTCAGTTTCCATTGTATATATGGAGCATTATGTCATTTCTTACATGTGTGATACTTCAGAGACAAAACCTCTTGACCATCATGACATTTGACCTCGATGGCCACAGGTCACAAGGGAAGAACATGTTATAGTAAACATGTCACACCATTAACTTCTGCAAATCAGACTCACTTCTATCTAAACTGATAAAACTAAAAGAATATAATCATTTAACACTTGTAACATGCAGCACTGAACAGACAGCTGGGAGACTTGTTTCAGTCAACTTGCAATTTCTCAATATTGAGAATGTGTTATTATCAACATGTTCAAGGACTCAATTTGTTTGAATGCTTCTCATAATTGGACTCAAAAAGGGTTTTAGCATCACATCCAGTAAATTTAAGTATGATTTTATGGGCTATTATTTGAGTACTAGATTTCAATACAGTTCTTTTAGACTTACACCTTGGACTTGTTGCTAAAGTCGCTGATTTTTTTTTGTTTATTGGGCTAAGATTTATTAGACAGAAGAAATAAAGAAACAAATCCTTGCCAGTTCAAAATAAACACAAAACATAAAATCCTCAACATATGGAACTTACTCATTATATTAATGAAGCTTCTTGTCTGTTTAATGTTTGAAATAAAGTCACATTATTGCAGCATTATGTTCAATAGGTTAATTTAGTTTTCACAAGGTGAACCCATATACAGTTGACTCCATCATGTGGGTGGCAGTACTATTTGCTGTTGTGTTTTTTCAACTACATCTAAGTGTCACGTGTCCACTTTATGTCATAAATTGTCACCTGGATTCATATGCATGATTTAAGACCATCTTCCTGAGGCAGACATGACCAAGAACTAATATCAAAGTCTAGTTTTCACCTGTGCCATTATAAACATATTTTTCTGAAGTAAAATATGAGTGGACTATCAAAGATATCAGCAGTCTGATCAGAGAAGGTTTTACAAAATCAAAATTAATTTTCATAAAAAAAAGTTGCTGTGATGGCCTGTCAAAGTTAAACTGAAGTTATTCCCAAATTATGCTATGACAAATACATTCTACATGGTTTCAATGAGCTTGCCATGGGTCTTATATATTTGTGCATAAACTTCATTGTTTTTTAACTCAAACCACTGTTTGGTCTAGCTTGCTCAAATGGTAATGATGATGTCATTTGAAGGTACCAAAATGCTCTCAAAGGTTGTCAAATTGAGCAAGAGAGTATGGTTTTACACTGATTTTAGCAACATTCAAGTAATGTCATGGCAGGGGACACAAGAAATGGCCTTCTAACATTGTATACCCATGTAAGCTTTAACTGCTTACCCACTGCTCTGCTCAGAGAGAAAGATATTCTTTAGTTAACAGCACAATTTACCCACCAACTCAATCTAAATAATTGTTTACAATGAAATCTTGTGACAAATACTTACCACCACTGGTCTCGTCTCCTAAATCCACTACGTTGCTTGACATGATGTAAAAGTGTATATCCTCTTCTGTGCTAATCACTCAGCAACATCTACTCCATGTTCATTGCCATCTGATTTTCTCCTTTTTTCGATGTTTTTTACATACCCTGTATTAAAATCTCGAAGTTGATGACTTATACGAGAAATACATCCAATCCTTCTTCATAAACAACCTGTAGATCCGAATCAACTGTGAATGACAGAATGACTTTGCAAACCTGTTTGTTTACAATTGCAAGACGGTATGAGTGTAGGAAGGCTTAGTAGAAACGCTCGATAAAGATAAATCGTTGTCAGCGAAGGTATTCAAATGATAGGATGCTGATAATAACACTTTAAACTCCTGTCTTCATTGTGGCAGACAGCTGAGAAAAATCAAATCCAAGCTCTCATCGTGTCGTCTGCCCCCGGAAGCTGCCTTGTGTGGAATGTTCATTTCAATCCAGTGGAAAGATTAGCCTCAGCCATAAAATCCTTAGAATACAGAAGATATGGTAGCAATATCCAAACACACAAAGCTGAAAAATGATTTGAAATTGAACGCTAAAACGGCAACAAACAAACAAACAGCACTTGACTGACTGCTCCTATGTTAGTTTACGTCACATCTGTAGGGGAGGTTACTCTATGGTTTAAACTAGGAATACCGCTAAAGAATTCAGTGGAGTACAGCTCGAGTTGCTCCGGCAACTGCGTAAATAAACTGATTATGTTGATATCACGCGATTATATCCAGGTCTGTTCATTACATGAACGAGCATAAACTGATTAAGGTTATGTGGATCCTAAAAGTGGCCTCATTAAGTTTCTTCCGATCTTGTGTAATTAAGTCTACCAGGACATTCTTTCTGTGTTCAAAGATTAAAACTGTTTCGATTTTAATCGGATAGTGTAGTCATTCACTGCATTTAAATGCAGCAAATGGGAATTAAAAAGCCCGAAAACCATCACCTTCTCAATGGTGCATGAAAAGAATACCGCTAAATGAAATAAGCGGATAAGTTTTAAGAGACTGATTGCAACTATTGCGTTTAACGAGCCTATTAAAGATATTATTGGTTGTATATTGAGAAATGACGAGGATTACCATTAAGTTTGTTATACTAGCGATTAAACAAGTTACCCTAATTAACTCCAACAATAAACAATGAGTACAACTAGACTATATGCAAATGTTGGAAACGATGGCAATGTTTTATTTGTATATTGTATATTTCTTATTTCGGGGTTTTATATCAAGTATTCAATTAATGCATGTGTAAGTGTTGAAATTTAGTTGTTATAGAAAATATTTTGCAAGGATAGGAAATACACAGTTTGTTTGTTTGTTTGGTTGGTTGTTTGTTTGGTTGGTTGTTGTTGTTTAACTCCGCACTCAGCAATATTCCGGTCTGTAAATATTCGGAGCAGACAATCCAGTGATCAACATCATGAAACGAGCCTGACCACTAAATCCCGTTAGTCGCCTCTTATGACAAGCATGGGTTGTTCATGACCAAATCTAACCCGGATCTTCACGGGTAGTATGTTAATGTAGCACAAATGAACATTGTTTAGAGTATCTTTGAGTGGTTAAAGCGCTCACTCGTCACACCAAAGACCCGGGTTGGATTCCCCACGTGGGTTCAATGTGTGAAGGCCATTTCTGGTGTTCCCCGTCGTGATATTGCTGGAATATTGCTAAAATCGTCGTAAAACCGAACTCACTCAGTCACTCCACTGCTTACAAAGCAACCTATCATATCACTATTTTAGGATATTTATATAGCGCACATATCTACGCTCTAGTGCATGCTCAAGGCGCTGGTATTTTTTCCCTCGATCATTGGATGTCAATCTCAACGGCACATATTATTATCAGTCTCAACTCCCTGGGGATCATACAACCCTTGCTGTCACAAGGCGCACCGAGTTATTGCGGCTTTCCCATCCTTACGAGGAACCAATTCACAACTGGGTGCACGTGGACAGGGACACATAGTCACAGTACTTTGTCCAAGTTTACTGCGAGTTGCTGTACCCGCAACTAGGTGTTTGCACGTATTCATGTGGCCACCATCTGGTCATATACCAACGGATTCATGGGTTCTTTTAAGTGCACAGGGCTGTGTACTGTACACTAGGGGTTGTGCCAACACTGAAAGAGTATGCACACAAAGTTGACTCCAAGGTTTTTTACACCCAGTCCCAGGTGGGCTCGATGGGCTTTCGCAACCATACACACTTTTAAACATTCTATACGTCCGCAACTTATTGCTACCCACTCTGCCTTCTTGTTTATATAATGCTTCATACCACTCAGACATATACTTTCCCATACAAGTAATCTGTACCCGCTCACATACATTCATCACACTCACACCCTCTTCCATATTGTAATGTAATGTTAACATTTTCAACATTGTGTTCCAGTTGATCACACTGACATGCATCAATAATCATCCGCTAGACGAGACCAGTTCATCAGCGATATGTGGAAGAGAGTCCGAGAATGCATCCCAGATCCGCGCCGTGTATGGTCCAGCTCTCCACGTCCTCCATCTTTTCTTTCACCGAGAAGCGCCCTCTCCAGCAGAGCACGAAGACGATTACATGATTCCCCCCAGCCCATCCCAAACTTGCACTATCTAGCAGTTAAATGAAACCTGAATTGAGAGATTAGACGAGGACGATGAACTGGTCCTCTAAACTGAAGACTTGGTTGGTTGGCTGTTTAACGCCACACTCTTTCACAATATTCCAGCTATATGGCGGCGGTCTGTAAATAATCGAGTCTGGACCAGACAATCCAGGGATTAACATATCATGAGCATCGATCTAGGATAAGATTAGATTAGATGGGTTAAGATGACATATGTCAACCAAGTCAGCGAGCCTGACCACCCGATCCCGTTAATCCCCTCTTACGACAAGCATGGGTCACCTGAATAGACGGAGGTTTTTAAATTCTTACCACTCTGGAATCAAAATACCCCACCAGGACAAAAAACAAGCAACGGCTAGACAGCCTCCATAACACGTCCCCACCACCACCCTAACACCCACTGGTTCATCGGTGTCCACATGATGATTGAGTGAGCAGACAGGGTCAGGATAACCCAATTGAACTTTAGAGCGACCCTAAGGAATAGAAAAAGATCGCCCGGTCGTTTGAAGTATCAACTTGCCTTGAGCCAGAATAATACGCTGGTATTAATTAAATATGTCGGACATTTAATCAAATTAGGCGGACTTGCTGATAATAGAACAATCTGAAAATTCAAGACCATTTGAAAAGATTAGTGCTTAAATTGTTAAAAACATACTATGACATGTACATGTTTGTTTTGTTGCATTCTTAAATAAACAAACACATACTTTCACCATTTTACTGTGAATATAACTGTGCATATTGAATTCATTTTGATTGATATACGGACGACAATTACAATGGTGATAGTTTCATTAGCAAGTGCATCTCACAAGCTTTAAGACTTTCGATAGCGACAGTTTCAGCGCCTGCTAGTCATTGCTGCTATCACTTATTCCTGGGGGCGGTGGGGTAGCCTAGTGGTTAAAGCGTTCACTCGTCACGCCGAAAACCCAGGTTCGATTCCACACATGGGTACAATGTGTCAAGCCCATTTCTGGTGTCCCCCGCCGTGAAATTGCTGGAAAATTGCTAAAAGCGGCTCAAAACCAAACTCACTTACTCACTCACTTATTTCTGTTTTGCGGGGTAGAATAGGTCTTCAGCAACCCATGCTTGCTGTAAAAGGCGACTATGCTTGTCGTAAGAGGCGACTAGAGGCTCGCTGACTTGGTTGACACATGTCATCGATTACCAATTGCGCAGATCGATGCTCATGCTGTTGATCACTGGATTGTCTGGTCCAGACTCGATTATTTACAGACTGCCGCCATATGGCTGGAATATTGCTGAGTGCGGCGTAAAGCTAAAACTCACTCACTCACTATTTCTGTTTTGCCTTTAGTGATCATAAACCTAAAACGTTGTGTTTCAATGTTATTTGTTAATTATCCGTTTATCGTGTGTGGGCTTTTACTGAATTCACATGTTGGTTCTGTCCAAAAATATTTGTGGGTTAACCTTTGCGTTTCAATTGCTGGAAATAACGTTGTAACTATATTCTCAGGGGAACTACAGGTGTAAGAGTAACTGAGACGGGCATGCCTGCAGTTATATCGAGGCTGTCACAGGGTCACACTTAGCTTGTGACCTGCGCAATATGCCCAGCAACGCATGAGTGAACTCATTCAGAGCACGGGTTTCTGCCCATGACAGTTGCAGCTCAAAACCTCCCACTGGTTAAACATTTCTGGTCCAGTTGCACCTCACAAATGAACAAAATGACGAACAAACATCATGATGTATGTCGCCCGTGAAGGTCCGGGTTAGAATATTGATCTTCAGTCGCCATATAGCTGGAATATTGCAGAGTGCGGCGAAAAACTACACTCACTCATGATGTATGTGTATTATCCAAACAGTGACACTGTATTCTATACCCAGTTTGTTATGATGAGACCAGTGAAGATCCGGGTTAGAATTGATCTTCAGTAAACCATGCTTGTCATGAGAGGCAATGAACGGGATCGGGTGGTGGGGCTCGCTGACTTGGTTGACACACGTCATCGTATCCAAATTGCCTAGAAAGATGCCCATGATGTTGATCTCTGGATTGTCTACTCAAGACTCGATCATTAACAGACCGAGACCATATAGCTGGAACATTGCTGAGTGCGGCGTTAAACAACAAACCAACCAACCAGCTGTTATGACAATTATGAGGGACAGATTTGCTGCCATACCTTCCGAAGTGACATAGAAGTTCCAGCACCACCCGTCACACGAAGAGTGAAAAGTTCTGAGCCTATCAATGACGAACTGAGTTGATGAAATTTTTCAACATAATTCCCTCATAGTTGTACACAATTCCGCCAAGGATGCAAGAGCGTCTGGATGCCACTTGTGTGGAAATAGAAACCCTAATAAATGTCGCCAGTATCCACAGTACAAAGCTTGCTAGACAGTTCTTTCTTGAGGGGTGCGAATAGCTGGAAACCTGACAGTGTCGGGGCGGTGGTGTAGACGGGTGGTTAAGGCGTTCGCTCGTCACGCCGAAGACCCGGGTTCGATTCCCCACATGGGCACAATGTTTGAAGCTCATTTCTGGTGTTCCCCGCCGTGATATTGCTGGAATATTGCTAAAGCCATGTAGTCATGCATTCCAGTCATGGCGACAACAGACTCGTGTATAATCGCCTTCTTGTGGTACAGCAGCCCATCTTCAGTGACCTGTCAATGAGGTTAAGGCTTGATATCCTCACACACAACATAAGCCATTACTGGTATAGCCCATCTGGAAATACACCACCATTTTGTCAGCTGGTGTCCAAAGACATTTGGACATTTGGACCTTTGTTCAGTCTCTGGTTGATAGAGTCCAACTCTAGATCTAATCTACTGTTACAAATCGCACAACCAAATTAGCTGGGTCTGCTTCCAAACAACGTAGGTTCTAACGTCTATAATGCATCTCAGTTCCAGATGCATCTGTTGGGGCGGTGAGGTAGCTTAGTGGTTAAAGCGTTGGCTCGTCACGCCGA